AGAATTCCCCATCTCACATTTGTGGCCTTCAACTCCCAGAATTCCCCATCTCACATTTGCGGCCTTCAACTCCCAGAATTCCCCATCTCACATTTGTGGCCTTCAACTCCCAGAATTCCCCATCTCACATTTGTGGCCTTCAACTCCCAGAATTCCCCATCTCACATTTGTGGCCTTCAACTCCCAGAAGTCCCCAGCACACATTTGTGGCCTTCAACTCCCAGAACGTCCGGGAGAGGTTGGGTAATTGTGGGAGTCAAAGTCCACCCATCTTAAAGTTCTCCAGGTTGAGAAGCTACTGCTGTACACAGGCAGTCCTCAACTTACAACAGTTCCTTTAGTGACCGTTCAAAGTTACAAAGGCACTGAAAAAAGTGAGTTATGACTGTTTTTCACACTTAACGACCGTTGCAGCAACCCCACAGTCACATGATCAGAATCCAGATGCTTGGCTACTGACTCACATTTAGGACGGTTGCAGTGTCCCCCGGGGTCACGTGATCCGCTTTTGCAAGCCCAAATTTCCATTGCTAAGCGAGGTCATTGTTAAATTGTTAAGAGTTTTGCCCCATTTTACAGGGTTTTTTGCCACCGTTGTTAAGTGGTTAAGTTAGCAACACCATCGTTAAGTGAATCTGGCTTCCCTATTAGCTTTGCTTGTCAGAAGGTCGCAAAAGGGGATCACGTGATCCCGGGACTCTGCAACCGTCATAAATGTGAGTCAGTTGTCAAACGTCTGAATTTGGATCACGTGACCACGGGGGTGCTGCCAACGGTCGTTAAGTGTGAAGAACTTAAGTCATAAGCCCCTTTTTTCAGTGCCGTTGTAATTTCGAACAGCCACTAAGCGAAATGTCGTAAGTCGAGGACTACCCTGTATTTCTTTATTCAACTTAAAGACTGTTCGTCTCACTCCCAGCGTGACTTTGTCTTCCATTCTGTAAAGTGGACACAGCATCAATTTGACTGGACCAAAGTGTTGGGGTTAATAGTAATAATAATAAAGTTGGAAGGGATCTTGGAAGTCATCTAGTCCAACCCCCTGCTCAGGCAGGAAACCCTATACCATTTCAGACAAATGGCTGTCTAGTCTCTTCTTCAAAACTTCCAGTGTTGGAGCATTCACCGCTTCTGGAGGCAGGTTGTTCCACTGGTTAATTGTTCTCACTGTCAAGAAGTTTCTCCTTAGTTCTAGGTTGCTTCTCTCCTTGATGAGTTTCCATCCATTGCTTCTCGTCCTGCCTTCAGGCACCTTGGAAAATAGCTTGACTCCCTCTTCTTTGGGGCAGCCCCTGAGATACTGGAACACTGCTATCGTGTCCCCCCTCGTCCTTCTCTTCATTAAACTACACATCCCCAATTCCAGCAACCGTTCCTTATATGTTTTAGCCTCCAGTCCCCTAATCATCTTTGTTGCTCTTCTCTGTACTCTTTCTAGAGTCTCAGCATCTTTTTTACATTGTGGTGACCAAAACTGGATGCAGTATTCCAAGTGTGGCCTTACCAAGGCATTGTAAAGTGGTATTAATACTTCACGTGATCTTGATTCTATCC